AGGTGGGGTGCACACGGGTGGGCGGGGCTGCATGATTTCACGCACTGGACTTCTAGTTTAACCAATAAGAACAATGGTTGATTTCAGCTTTTCTAAAAAGAAACTGTAGGAGTTGCAGGATATGTAGCACTTATAAATGGTTTACTGATCACTAGTATTCTTGGTCCTATGACTTAGGAATGAGTATTTGAAATGATTACTATTTAAAAGAGTCATATGGCTGTTTTAAGTCTTGTTATAGAGTATTTTTTATAAAAATATCAGCAATCTTAAATCTCATATCAAATATGAGGAGTCTTAGTTTAAGAATGATCAATCCAAATATCTAGTGACATCATAAAGGGTCCATAAAGTTTGAAGAGAAATCAAGAGAATATCCACTGATTATTTTTTTGAATTTGTGCCTCTCATTTAAACTCTGCTGAGTTTCTGATACATAAGTATTTTGTTTACTAGTGTTTTCTCTTTAAAGATGTTTTGATAGGTCTCATTCAGCTAATGAGTACATTTGGAAAATACTTAGTAAGGTACTTAATTAAACATTCAAGCCTGATGGAGTCACCAAGACATTACAAGAAGTTGTAAATGAACTGTACTTTAGTATATCTGCTCTGTAAAATACAAAAGCAAAAATCATAGAACTGAATATTTTTAATTGAATTTTATGTAGCAATTGTGTAGGAGCACTTAATAGTTGAAGACTGTGCATTAATAGTGTCAGAATATTTCTTAAAACAAATATTGAATGCCGAAACCGGTTTGGCTCAGTGGATAGAGCGTCGGCCTGCGGACTGAAGGGTCCCAGGTTCGATTCCGGTCAAGGGCATGTACCTTGGTTGCGGGCACATCCCCAGTAGGAGATGTGCAGGAGGCGGCTGATCGATGTTTCTCTCCCATCGATGTTTCTAACTCTCTATCTCTCTCCCTTCCTCTCTGTAAAAAATCAATAAAATATATTTAAAAAAACAAAACAAAAAAAAACAAATATTGAATATTCTAATTTTAAGTATAATATGGCTATTGTTTTTGTGAATGGCGGAATCAACTCCGAAATTCAGATGTAAGTCATTGAAAAGAAGTGATTTGATTTATGGATTTCTACTTTATAGATAATTTTCCAAAAATATTGTATAATCTTTAAAGTCTGATCTAGCAATATCAATTTTATCTCATTAGAATACTATCTATTACCATATATAAGGCTATATTTATTTTTCATGTAGTATGACTCTCCTTTATAAAATAACACTTTGGGATCATGATTTATGCATGTTTCAGTATAATAATAATAATAATAATAATTACTATTATTATTTTTAATTCTTAGGAGCCAAAAGTAGTTTCCTAGTTGCTTTTTACTTTTCTTCAATTTATTTTCTTAAACTGTCTCTAACTGTAACAGATTTCTCCTGCATATGTCTTAGGTATAGTTTCCTTCAGTTTTATTTCTCTATAGATATTTTCTGTGGATAATTCTCTTTGTTTTATACTTCAGTATATTTTGTTCTATTGATTTTATTTTTTCTTATTTTCCTATGTTATGCATTTATTTTTTATTGCGAGATATAGATATAATTACAAATATACTTATTCTAGAGGCCTGGTGCATGAAATTTGTGCACAGGTAGCGTCCTTAGGCCTGGCTGGCAATCAGGGCCGATCAGGTTCCCCGCCTCCTGGTCTCCCTGCCTCCTCCTCCCTCAGCGCCCTGCCATGTTCCGCACCGCCCCTTGGTGGTCAGTGCATGTCATAGCAAGCGATAGAACTCCTGGTCTCCCAGTCGAACGCCTGAGGGGACAATTTGCATATTAGCCTTTTATTATATAGGTATGGGAATGGAAATGGATAAAGACAGTTAAACATGTATCTTCTGTGTAACCATGGATTTTAAGTGGAAGAAGGTAGATTCCTGTGCTCATTCTGCCATCTTGATTGATTGGTATTTCTCTATATTAATCAATGAACTGATTATGTAGAATGTTTAAGGTATAATGTTTGTATCTGAGACAGATATTGAGGTTCTTCTTAGTTTTATCCAAATACTAGAAATACTAGAGACCCGTGCACAAATTTCGGGTACGGTCCCTAGCCCTGGCTGGCGATCAGTGCCGATCAGGGCCTTCCTTCCCCCAGCTGCCAGCTGCCGGCTGGGGCCTTCCTTCATTCTGTGCTGCCCCCTGGTGGTCAGTGCACATCATAGCGATGGTTGAACTCCCGGTCTGTCAAACTCCCAAGGGGACAGTTTGCATATTAGCCCTTTATTATATAGGATATTTTGGAAGACAAGGCAGTAATACACCAAACTTATATATTTGTGCTTCTACTGCACAAACTTAGATCTATAGGTGAATTGGGATGATGGTAACAGGTGAATGAAATGTACCCCCAAAAAGGTCTTTTCTTTGTTGTAGCTTAAAGCGCTGACACATGCTACCAAATTATTAAATGATGATTTGGAAATGAGCCAGCTGACTGGAAAATCTTTACAAGATTACTATTGGCAGATAAGGTAGGTTTGGGGCACTTCATGTATTCATCAAGCACTTATTAAGTAACTTTTTTAGACAGAGCACTTCACTTGCTATGAAAAATTTAAAACAAGAAAGAGAAAAGATTCCCTGCTCTTTAAGCATTTATAGAAATGGTTCCAACCTTTCCTTAAGACCCATTTTTTGTGTGTAAAAATATATCACAGAAGTGTCACATGAAAGTAGTTGTAGTTTTAATATCCATTGATTCTTAAAAAACACACGTCAATTAAAACTATATTTACTAATACTTTTCTTTGTACTTGGATTATATTAATCTCAAGTGTTTGTATTTATTTGAGAGTTACTCTAAATATACATATGTGCAAGATATATTATTAATTCAGTCTAAAGGCAATACCCAAAGAGGTTATAGATTTAAGGACCCCTGTAAAAAAATATGGTCTACAAGTTGGAAGAGAAGTTAGGAAAGTATGAAATAATTGGAAAAATGATTTCAAGAGAAAACATAATTATGTGTCAAGGAATCTCCAATAGCAGGAAGCTTACTGGGAGGTGCTTATTGAATAGAAAGTTCCATTATGCACAAAGACATACAGTTGTCTAAATACGAGAGGGATTTAATAAAGCATTTTCTTGACTCCCTGCCCATTGACCTGGCATAGTTCTACAAGCTCTTAACCACTAGAGGCAAGAGTTGATTTTAAATAATTGTTTTCCTAGAATAACCTAGCTAAATGCAAACAATATTACTTGAGAAGGTTGACATATTGCACAGCACCTGGCATATAGTGAGTGTTCAATAAGTATTAGATGAATGAATGAAAATGAATAGAAGACATCAGTATTTACAAAACAATAAACTAGTGTTATTTATAAGCTAAAACTGGAAGCAAAGAACAAACATTGGCATAATGAACACAAGTAAACTATAACATAGAAAAAAGAAAAGTATGCTTTAGATGGGATCCCATGGTGATGGATAGGCAGAAGTCTAATACTGTGTGTGTGTGTGTGTGTGTGTGTGTCTGAAGAGATCGTTGCTTTTATTAAAGCAAAAAAAAGCAGTGTGATTTACATTCAGAAAAATTTTCAGAGTGGTGGTGAAATGCTTCAAAGGGGAGTTTGTTGCCATTTGAAAAACAATGTTTCTGTTGGGAAAACTGTGGGCATGAAATACAATTAAATAAGAATGGCACATATGAATTCAGCCTTTAATGACTATATACTAGATGGCTAGTACTCACCATCACCTGGTACCCAAGAAAGACATCTGCAAGTCATTTGTGACTGTCTCCTTGCCTCTCCTCTCATCCCTCACACCCAGCCAGTAACCATTCCCACTGATTCTGCTTTACTTCAGGTGCTTATTTCATAGCCTAACTACTCAAATAGTCTCCTAAAATACCTCTCTTTAAACCATGCTCCATATTAAAATCAGAGTGATTTTTCTATTGCCTTTAAGATAAAATTCAGTGGTTTTAGCATGATTTGTAAGGCCCTTCATAATCTGTCTCCTGCTGACTTCTCCAGCCTCATTTTAGGGGTTCTTATCTCAGAACTTTATAGTCCAGTGCCCTAAATGGACTGTGCTCTCTGATGTCTACATAACTTTGTTTTAATGCCTCTAGTTTCTAAAGGTTCTTTCATCATTTTCTGCCTGACACTTAGTCAACATACACATTTTATTCAATGTCATGTTACTTTCTCAGGGAGGCTCTTACTTTGCCCATTAGATTAGATTAATTCTCTTTCTTTTTATACTCACATAGCACTTATGTATTTCCCCTTTCATGATACTCATCACATTTGTAATTTGGTTTTTTTCCCCTGCTGGGATATTAGTTACCAGCACCTTAAATATTTCCTGCCACATAGTACTTACTTATTATGAGTTTATTGATTTGAATTGAATGTTACATACTCTATGAAGTCTTTCCCTCCTGTTGCCTGTCTCTCTTATTTATGCTCACACTATAGCATGTGTGAACTCCTATCATAACACCTATAACATTTTGTTGCATTGATTAATTTATATGTATATAAGCTTTTCTGACCTTGTCTTTTTATCTTTGTATCTCCCCTTAACCAGCACAGTACCTGGCATGCAGTAAGCACCCAATAAATATTTAGTGGATGAATTAAAGAATGGCAATAGGCTTCTCTTTCTATCAGTATGGTAGACTAGATTCCCTGAATGTCCCTTCTAATGAAAATAAGTAAAAATGTCTGATAATACTATTTTTATTGCTGAAATGGCAAAAAGGTAAGGAATCTACAAAAGCCAAAAACTAGGTAAAAGGAAAAATCCTAAAAATTAGGAGTAAAGTCAGCTTTTACATGGAGTGTATTTGTTAAACACTAGTAATTCTGACTGGCATTCACATGGCTTCATGGAGTGCCAAAGGCAGAAGATAAAGCCACGCTCATCTTAATTAGAAAGTCTAATAGGAGATCCTGTAGAAACAGGTGTTAAACTTCATAAAAGGGAGAATGTAAAGGGAATGACAAAGAAAATAGTGAAAAACTTTAAGCCATAAAGGAATGAATCACTAAATGGAATTTCAGTTTCTATATCAACATACGGGTAAAATGAAAAAAACATGAGGTGGCCAAGGGGAGTCCAGAAGAATTAGTGTAATACATTCTTCCAGGCCATCTTAATGACTTAAATAATTCTAATCTGCTAATATTTTTTTAATCTACCATTATTGTTGTAGTAATACAAAACAACTTTATGACTTAGAAAGGGAAAAGGACTTCTCCCTACTACAAAGTATATTACGTACTTGGAAACAGATAAAATCTCTTCGACAACAGCAAGGGTTTATAAGCACCCCGATAAAGTTACAGTTTCAGAGGTGAGTGGTTGTTCTGTTGGTTCTTATAACATTTCTGAGGAACTGCACATGAATAACTGGCAATTCACAGTAATTGGGAGAAAAGAAGCTAGATAACTATTTGATGTAGCCAACAAAGGACTTGTATCTTGAATATATAAACAATTCTTACAATTTAATTAAAAGGGGCAAAAGATTTGAATAGACACTTCACTTAAGAAGGTATATGGATGGCAAATGAGCACATGAGAAGGTGCTCGACATCACTTCAGGTCAGTAGAGTAATGTGAATTGAAACCACAGTAGAATATACTACACACCTATTAGAATGGCTAAAAATCGGAACAAAGAAAAGAAAGGAAAGGAAAAGACAGTAACACATGCTTTCAAAGATGCTGAGTAATAGTAACTCTCATTGATTGCTGGTGGGAATGAAAAATTGTACAGTGACTTTGAAAACAATTTGGCACTGTATTATAAAGTTAAATATAGATTCAGCAATCACACTCCTGGGTAAAACATGTAAATTATAAAAACATGTCTATTGGAGGAGTTAGTTATAATTAAAAACTATACTTGTTACTCACAGGAGCTGTGAACTCACAGTTAAATAACTGGTTTCCTTCCTAACCCATTGTTCCTGGGTCTTTTTCCCCCCCAAAACTGTAAAAGATTAGTGTAATTTCAGGCAATAAAAATGGTGTCTACTTTGTTGATTTTTCCCCCAACTGCAGTGGTTTTTAATGAAAGTGTTTCATGATCACCTTTATTATAATTCCTAACATTTTCAACAGTTTATCTAAAAAAAAAAGCTTTAAAAAAGCTCCCCAGTGATTTGAATGTGACAAAGTTTGACAGCCATTATATTAAAGAACACTAAGTTAATTATGAACAATAAGTTCATATTGATTACCCCAAATCAGAGGAAAACAATAATATTTATTGTTAGTTATGCTTGGAGCACCAAACAGCACTTTACATGAATTAGTTCATATAATCCTTACAACAACACAATTTTCAATTGAGAAAAGTAAGGCACAGAACACTGTAGGAACTTGCCCAAATTCCATAGTGCCAGGCAACACAGGTAGTCTGCTCTCAGCCCATACAGGTAATATCCACACTGAACTTACTATACTGTATTTCAGAAGGCAAAAGCATATATTCTAAAAACAGTTCTAATAAAGAATTTAAATTAAAAAAACAGTTTTAATGAGATATAGTTCGCATACCATACATTTCACCCATTTAAAGTGTGCAGTTCTTTTTTTTTTCTTTATTGATAAAGGTGTGCAGTTCAATGGTTTTTAGTATATTCATAGAGTTGTGCAAGCACAATTATAACTGTCCAATACTTTCATTATATTTGCTTTAAATAATTCTATTTATTATTAACTAGGATAAAAATAAATAAATTTGATGAACAAAATCAAGGAGAAATGTCAGAAATGTCTGAGACTGAGAAGAAAACTGAAGAAAAAGCATATAACAGTGGGGGAAATGAGGAGGTATTTATATTGAAAAATGATATTTAACTCAACTAGTTATAATATTTAGTAGATAAAATAGGATATCTTTGTATTTGTAACAGTTACCCAACAAAATTACAAATAGAGGAAATATAAGTTTAATATTAAGAATAATTGTCCTAAGCTATGAACTTACATTGTAAATTATACATTTATTTTTTTTGGTTTCTAGAGCCTCTTATATTTAGCTTTAGAACTTGAAGAAACAGATATTGAAGGAATAAAGCCAATCACTTTGATGCCACAACTTTCTTTTGCTGAAGAATTAACAAACTTATCCAAGTGTTCACTGTAAGCGTTTTTACAGGTTTATTTTTTTCTTATATATTGTCTATTAATTGTTTAATTTTTTAATAATAATGTTAGATTTATTGAGTGAGTACCGTATGCAGGGCACTTTGCTACTTTATCTTATACATTTGCACATTTAATTGCTACTATAGGTCTATGGTGTTATACGCATATAAAAGGTTAAGTAGCCCAGGATCACATCTCTAATTCATCAGTGAGGTGGTACATAAACCAGTTTGGTTTGATGATTGTGTTTTGTTTTTGCTATGGTAGTAATTTTTGTTCATGTATAGATAGGTAGGATATAAAGCCACTGTAAAATAAGATTATATAGTAGCCCTAGTTTGTTAAGGGACCCTTTGCTTTCATAAAATGAAATCCCCTCTGGGCAATTTTATATTTTGACATAAACTTCTTTCCTTCCCACTTGCGACTTTTTCCTTGAACTATAATGTTTCCCCCTACTCCTGGGACATTTCATGCAAAAACAGGTATCACACAGATTGTCATTTCTCCCATCTGTAGGCCTGTGGCTCTCATCTCCCTTAAAGAGGATAAGTCAAATTAGAGCACTGAACTAGGTCCAACTTTTCAACATTTCTGTCTCATGGGACACTTTGGACCAATTTGTCTTTGAGTATTGTGAATGTGCATAATTTAGCACAGTGTTGTAAGACAGTGGGTGCCCAATAAATATTCATATACATTAACTGAATGGATGATGGTTGCATTTTAAAATGAACATAAAAGTAGCAGACACAAAGACTTAAGCAGGCTGTCTTTCTGACCAGAGAAGTACAGTGGTGAAGTACTGATTTGTTCTATACCTACTTCTCAAAGGGGTCTGAGTTAATTTATTATGTAAGACACACCTACAGAAGGACCATCTAAATCAGTGATTCTCAACCTGTGGGTCGCGATCCCTTTGGCGGTCGAACGACCCTTTCACAGGGGTCGCCTAAGACCATCCTGCATATCAGATATTTACATTACGATTCATAACAGTAGTAACATTACAGTTATGAAGTAGCAACGAAAATAATTTTATGGTTGGGTCACAACATGAGGAACTGTATTTAAAGGGCCAGAAGGTTGAGAACCACTGAAATGAAGACAAGAGAACAGGATCCATATAATGGAAGATGGAAATAAAGAGGAGAAAGAGAAGGAGGAAGGTATTTGTGCTGGAACGCCTAGACTAAAACTTAGTGGTAGTCAAGGCAAAAGGAAATATGGTGCTTTCTTTCTTCTCAAAGCAATTGCTATTGTGTGGCATTGCTTTCATTATCCATTTAAAATATCCAGTTGAATAAGAATTGACTCTCTAGAAAAAAATGATGTACTGATGTCAAGGATAGAGATGAAAGGAGTACAGGAATTGAAGAAGAATTGAAGAGTTTACAGGTGAAGAAAAAACAAGATTATCTCAAGATAAATATAATACTGAATTAATGAATTTCATCATCAGTTCATGAGCTCATTGTTAAAATTACATTCAAAGGGCAACATGAGGGGCAAATTGTACTAAGATATTTCTCTAAGGGTAATTGGGAAGATGGTTAGAAGAGGCTAACGGAGAATAAGTAATCTTTTGTCTCTGAACCCTCTGAGAAGGTTATGGAGAAGATGGGCTTATCTGAGGGCAGGGAGATCCTGGGCCCAGAGGATGATTAGGGTGGAGAACAGAGGGGATTTTTATATTTCAACTAAGGCTTATTTTCCAACCAGTCTTCTTTCTGAAAAAGTGGCTCAAGTCTTAAACATCATTAGGTCAGTTCCCGTGCAGCTAAAACGGTTTTCAGTAAATGTTAGTTGAGCGAACGAATAAATGAATGGATGGAAGACTCTTTTTAGGACTTTCATCTCACTCAAGGGGCCCATTTATTCCCTAACAAGTGTACTCATATAAGCCCCAGAGAACTAACCTCTCTCAAATCTTTGGGTTCAGAGAAAAAATGACCTGGAGAAAAAGGGTGTACAACCTAAAGCCTAAAGGGATTTTCAAAGGCTTTTAATAGAACACAGCAAGCCTCATGACTTAGAGCCACCTCTTTGAGGTTATTGAAAACATGGTGTGTGTGTGTGTGTACCTCTTTTAAGAGTTAGACAATATTTTTGAGTTCTTGATTTAAGTTTCCCAATCCCATTACTAAGTCCCTCAGTTTCCTCTTCTCATAAATCATCTTATGATAGGTAAGTGCTTAAAATTTAGTAAAATAAATACCTGAATGATTTACAGAACCCTGATTTTAGTTCTTTTCTATTTTTGAGTAAATATTTTTTCTTGAAAGAAATTTTACTGGGTAGCAGAGGCTTTTATCCACATTTTGGCAAGCATTTTGGGGCTTAAAGATACCATTTGCCCTCTAAAATAATCATATTTTAACATGCTAAGTTAAGGTACATTTTGAAATGAACATTTTATGTCCATTTTGCTTTTCAATGGTCTTTTAAATGTTTCTTTAATTTTTAGGCATGAACAAAAGAGGAGAGCCAAAATTCAGAAGCTTAAATATTTTATTAAAATATTATACAATGATAAACAGGTTTCTTGCACTTCGATATCTCCTCTGCAGTTTGATTTTAAAGTCATGTTTCAGCAGATTTTCAATATCCAGTTAATATATTGGCCTGAAACAATTTGCTTGGAGGTATGTCATTGTTATTTACTTTTGTACCTTATTTTACCCATACATAATTTTAAATTTCTTGTTAGCTTTTGTTATATGTGATAAGTTATTTCTTTTACATTTAGAGATAACTGATCTATATGGCTAAAGAAGATATTTATAAATAACATATTTGTAATTTATCATTAGTTTTTTATTCTATAAGTACAAAATTATTTGATTAATTAAATACTTCTCTTCTTTCCTGCTAAAATTTCTACCAACCCTTGGTCTGCAGTATTACTGTTCATTTGGTAGTGAGGTGGAAGAGGGTTGTGTCCAGTGGTCACCAACTGGTGGTCCGCAGACCACTGGTGGTCCGTGAGGTCCGAAAGGTTGGTGACCGCTGGAAGCTATAGTGAGAGGTATAACTATTACAATAGTATTGAAGGATGTCTCCAAATTGCTCCAGTCCTGACTTGATTTCAGTCTCTTGCTGTATTTGTTCTTCACCTACTTTTGGATTTGGGATCTTTTTAAAAATCTGATGAAAGATCATACACACAATAGACCCTTGATCTTTGTCCAGAGACACCATCATGAGAACCCCTGCACTATTAAAGGAAGAAGAAAATAGGACAATGGAGAAAAGTTAGAGACCATAAAGGAGTCTAGACAAGAAATTTTGATGGCCGATATAGGGGTTGAACTTGCATCTATACCCAAAGGAAAGGTTTTGAGGGAATAAAGATTTGTGTATGTAAGGTTGGGATGGAGTTTGAGGACTGGAGAGAGGATTATAATTACAAATCTAAATCTGTTATTTTTACAATGCCTAGATCATTTTGTGCTATCCCTGACCAGAGGTTGTATTCATTTTGTTTATCTGTACTATCAAGAGCCTGTCATCTTAAAAATTATAATCCAACCACTTGAGGTTAAAAATATAGATAAATGCCCCCAATATAGATAAATGCACTTTTGAATTTTTCATTACTTAGCATATAACCCTAACAAACTAAGAGGCAGGGAAAGAAACTAATCTAGCTAGAGATAAATTACATCATTAGCAGCTGCAGAAGTTGAAATATAAATTTTTATGCCCTAGTGCAATGGTCGGCAAACTGCAGCTCTCGAGCCACATGCAGCTCTTTGGCCCCTTGCGTGTGGCTCTTCCACAAAATACCGACTTCTGCGCATGGGCCACGAAGTTTCAATTGCACTGTACATGCGCGCCCACACGTGGTATTTGTGGAAGAGCCACACTCAAGGGGCCAAAGAGCCACGTGTGGCTCGCGAGCCGCAGTTTGCCGACCACTGCCCTAGTGTAAGAGATTCTAATCTACATTTCTGATTTACTTCTTACCATTCCTCTTTACTGATTCTTCATTCAGGCAAACTGAGTTACTTGTGTTTTTACCATATATCCTTGCAGTTTCCTACTTCAGAACGATTGACCATTCCAGTTCCTCCATTAAAATGCCCGTTCTTGATACTTCATCTCTGCCATTCAGTGGTGCTAATAGCTGCTATCAGAGGGCAGGCTGTCTCCTGGGGACTTCACCAGGTGGAATTCTCTACCTTTACATTTACTTCTATCCAGGATCTGACCTCCAGCCTTGCAGTATCAGAAACTAGATTTGACAATCCCCTGAAAAGGCAGTTCCCTAAACAAATTTACAAGGCTGATTTGTCAAATCAGAGTGCCAATTCATCCTTTGAATATATTTATCAGTTCACTGTCTTTCTTTAGTTGGCTAATAAAATGATTTACAATAAGAAATTCCTTTCACGGACCTAAATACTTAAGTCCATTTGCAATAACTCCTACAAACCTTTCAGCATTAGGGACACTTTTGTCAAAGAGACCAGTGTGTTGGCTTAAGTTAACTTTTACAAGGGACAGTTTTTAGATAACTAGAAAAAATATTTGCCTTGGACTTTGTTTTTTCTCTGCTTTCTTGATTAACCAACCCCCTTTTTGATTGACACATTTTTTCTTAACTTTCAAGGAGCATTCCACCCCCACCCTACCCCCTATTTCCTTCTTCTTAGAGTACATATCACTGTTTACCAAACACAGTACAGGTCAAATGAAGATTTTGCTATTGAAAAAAACTTTAGGTTTGTAATTATGGCAGTGATGGAATTGTAGTTAAAGCACAGCATACAGAATCAAAAGACCTGGGTTTAGTACCCAGTGGGCATCTGTGAAACTATCTACTGGGACTGGGTTGCCCTCCCCTATCCCTACAGCTCGTTTAATCTGCCCTTGGATTCCATGAGTTAATAAATTTCCTTTTTTTCTAAGCAAGTCAACCTGAGTTTCCATCACTTATAATAAAAATAAATATAGTTTTATATAGAGACTCCATTTCCTAATGAAATGGGAAGAATAATACCAGTTTCCGATAATTTTCATCAGGTTTAAATGAGGTAAGGAACTTTAAAAATGCTACACAAAAGTAAGTTATTCAGGTATTGTGTTATGTGTACCTATATTCTCAGAACTGTATTTATAATCCTTTTATTAAATTTATTTTCCTTGAAACTAGTGAAAGGCATTCTACAGTTAGGGATGTACAGTTATCTACTTTTCTCACAATCAGTAGGTGAAATACTATAGAACAATACCTATTTTATATTCTGGCATTTAAAAAAAAAAGAATACAAATGGGTGTTTATAAGGGTCCTTAGTTTAGTTTAAAAATTTTTGTACTTTCAATGAGCTATCAATCATTTCTTTTCTATTTAGGTTTATGAAATAAATAAAAGGACAAACTTGCTGGCAAAACTATATGTACCTTTGCCTAACAACACAGAGCTGAAAAGCAAAACTGCTTTGGAATATGTAGAGTTTAGCTCTGATGAGCTGGTCATGCCTGAGTATGGAGAAGTAGGAAGCAGTAAGTTTATTAAAAACTAGAGGCCTGGTGCACAAAATTTGTGCACTGGGCCGGGGGGGAGTCCCTCAGCCAAGCCTTCCCCCTCTCACAGTCTGGGAGCCCTCAGGGGATGTCCTACTGACAGCAGTCTGGCCTCCCTCTGCAGGAGGCAACCGGGCTGATCAGGGGAAGGCACCAGCCCATCACCCAGCTGCTGCTGCCACTGCCGCAGTTGCCAAGGTGTTTTTATCAACACGGACTCCAGTCCCTTCACCACGAAAAAATGACAACTTTCTTTAGGCATTTTCAAGATGTCTCTTTCATAGGATATGACATTTCTTTCTTTCTTTTTTTTTTTATCCTCACATGAGGATATTTTCCCATTGATTTTTAGAGAGAGTGGAAGAGAGAGGGAAAGACAGAGAAAAACATCAATGTGAGAGGAACACTTAGATTGGTTGCCTCATGCATGAGCCCTGACCTGGACCCTGGCCAGGGAGGAGCCTGCAACCTAGGTACATGGCCTTGATCAGAATCAAACCCGGCCCCCTGTGGGTTTGTGTCTCTGCTCCAGCCCCAGCAGCCCAGCGCTGTCCATCTTTATGTAACCAGATCAATATTTTCCTCTCTTTGTAGTCTACTTGAAGCAATCTGCCTTGAGGCATCTTAGAGGGTGATGAGGGGGAGCTCTTAGGTTTGAGCCTGGGGTCAGCACAGAGTTTCCTATGTGTTCCTGGATTTCCACAAGTAAAAGTGGGGGGAGGGAAGGGGTGGATCTACAATGTGTTCAAATTGCACACTTTTAAAAAAATTTACTTATTTTTAATGCCCTTTATAAACAGATGTGCCTTTTCTTCTTGAGGGAAATGAAACTGAAGAACTTTGTCTTTTCACATCAGGAAAACTAAGCTATTCCCTATCATGGGCCTTAGATGAAAATGGCATTCCTCTGACACCTATGTCGCAGTCATTAAGATCTGCTTACTGCAGGTAGTAAGCCTTTATGCTTGAAAAATAATTCCACTCCTCAGCAAAGCATCACACAAAACCTGTGTCTATAAAAGGAAAAAACTAGCAGCAATAGGAATTTAGTTTATTTAGATGTTGATTTATTTTTTTCATATATTTATAAATATATAAAATGTTAATATATTTCTAAATATATAAACATTTATACATCTTATTGATAATTATCCTATAAGATAGTAAGTGTCTTTATATGTAATAGTGTGTATCTCTTCCTTGCTTAGGATTATAGTCACATGCAGGATGAGAAAGGCCAAGACTCCCAAGGATTTTATTTCCGGGGCCTTTATATTTCCCAGTCATTCTGGATTATAAAATAATAATTTATGTATTATCAACTTGCTAGAAAGAAAATCCTAGAAATTTTATGCTATGTCCCAGGACTTTCTAGAAGAATTGGAATTAACTTATAGGTCATATCCATAAATAGGATTACTAGAAATAAGTACAGTAAAATTTTATAAAAATGATGGTAATGCTGCCTTTTATATTACGCTGTGTTTGAGTAAAATGGTAAATATAAAGGGCCACGTAGATTCCATCATTTAAAAATTAATGAGTGATGATACCAGAACAATGGCCTTTCCCCTCTCCATCTAAACACATATTTTAAAAGACCTTGGCTATATGATGTTATGGAAAAGGCAGAACTATGGAGACAGTAAAAATATTGGGAGTTGCCAGGGGTTATGAAGAGAGAGGGATGATTAGGTAGAGCACACAGGATTTTTAGGGCACTGAAACTACTCTGTGTGATACCATAATTATGGGTACATATAATTACATACTTGTCAAAACCCATGGAATGTACAGCGCTAGGAGTAAACCCGAAGGTAGACTATGTACTTTGAGTGATAATGATGTGCCAACATAGGTTCATGTATTGCAACAAATGCCACTCTTTTTGCAATGAATGTAGTAAATTATAACTCTGGTGCAGGATGTTGATAGTGGGGAGGCTGTGAAGCGTGAGGGGTAAGGGGCATATGAAAACTGCGCTTTCTGGTCACTTTTGCTGTGAGCCTAAAACTGCTCTTTAAAAAGTGTTTTAAAAATAGAATAAAAATATTTAAAAACATCACTATAAATAATTTGGATTCGAAAGGAGATCAAAATGGAAATTAGCGACTTTTAAAATAATGAGAACACTATGTGTAAAACCAGTGGCATATGGCCAGAGTTATAGTAAGAGTTTATACGTACTTTTTGTGGTAAAGAACAAGTTTTAGAGAAAAAACAACAACACCTAAATGTTAGTAGCACTCAGCAATTGATGTTGAGCCGGGCCTGCGAGGCTCAGGGTTGAGTGTTGACCTGTGAATCTGGAGGTCACGGTTCTGTTCCCAATCAGGGCACATTCCTGGGTTGTGGGCCTCGTCCCCAGTAGACCCCCCTGTGGGTTTGTGTCTCTGCTCCAGCCCCAGCAGCCCAGCGCTGTCCATCTTTATGTAACCAGATCAATATTTTCCTCTCTTTGTAGTCTACTTGAAGCAATCTGCCTTGAGGCATCTTAGAGGGTGATGAGGGGGAGCTCTTAGGTTTGAGCCTGGGGTCAGCACAGAGTTTCCTATGTGTTCCTGGATTTCCACAAGTAAAAGTGGGGGGAGGGAAGGGGTGGATCTACAATGTGTTCAAATTGCACACTTTTAAAAAAATTTACTTATTTTTAATGCCCTTTATAAACAGATGTGCCTTTTCTTCTTGAGGGAAATGAAACTGAAGAACTTTGTCTTTTCACATCAGGAAAACTAAGCTATTCCCTATCATGGGCCTTAGATGAAAATGGCATTCCTCTGACACCTATGTCGCAGTCATTAAGATCTGCTTACTGCAGGTAGTAAGCCTTTATGCTTGAAAAATAATTCCACTCCTCAGCAATCTCTGAAATCAATAAAAATATATTTTAAAAAACACCAGTTGATTTTGAGGAAACTGAGCTAGTGTACGTACATTATTCGTCAAGAAGTTTAACAAGCTGAGGGGGGAAAAAGACTGAAAATAAGCCTTGGCTATATGATGTTATGGAAAAGGCAGAACTATGATAACAGTAAAAATAGAGACAATAGAATCAAGGTATGGATTTCTTAAAAACTGGGACAATCTTTATCTTCTTAAAAGAAGTGATGAAATCCATGGGAAAAGAGCCAGAGAATATATTAGAAAAAGTATGAGATCCTTCAGAGTCAGGAAGATATTGAACCAGACACAAATTTATAGCTATGGTTCTAGAGAAGAGGAAATATCTCTTCTTCAAGTCAGAGGATGAGACAGAAATCACTATGAAGGCAAATGCAATTTTAATGGATGTCCTTGTTTTGGTAAATAAATGATGTCATCTTCTTCAAGGCCTGGAGAAAGGGCATTTTAGGAAAAAAAGTAGACAAGTAATAAAATTAATTGACTTACTATCTAATGAATAAACTTTTAATACCTTGAACCATTATTTTCTTTTATTTCTTAGTATTTCCCTAGTATAGTATCAACTGCAGCTTTTTCCTACCTTTGTCTCATTTCACATATTCTTTGGTGTTTATTCTTAGAGTCAGATATTTGTTCTCCTCACTCTAAAGCTAATATATGGGCAATCTTTTATAAAGGTATTTTGGAACTTTCCTTTGTTTCTTTTAGGATTCTGCTGATGTATCTACATCCTTTTCTTTTCTTTTTTTTATATCCTTTTCTTATATCATCTTCAACTTTTCCATCTCTATATGTTGTTAGTCTTTTATATATAAGAAGTCTTCTTTGTTTTTTTAAACAAAGAACAATCCAGTCATCTGATTAAACCTTAAAAAAACACTTTTGGGCTGTTTTTCCTATCTAACTAAGCCCTCACCTGGGTGGTATACTGGTCTGCCTACAGTGCCTTCACTTTTTATTCACACATTTCTTCCCTAAAGCAATCCACGGATTCCCGAAGGCTACCAGTGACTTTCTGATACTCATTGGCTTGTCCTCATCCTTTTGCTTATTTAAGTCTCTTCTCTGTCACTTCTGTGATGCTGCACTTGGCAGTTCTAGTTACTTGGGGACTCAAGTTTACAAAAGATTGAAAGCAGTTCTGTGAAAGATGAGGGCATACGACAGGTTTCAACAGGGAGTGAATTGTAAGAGGTTTTCAAAGTCCAGGGCCTTCTCTAAAGAAGTTAACTCAAAGTAAAACTTTACCTTTGGGGCCTCTGACATCAGAGAGGGAAGTTACAGAACTCTCCTCTACAGTGTGGGAGTTCAAGGGCTGGTGCTGAGCCATCGTTCTAGGAACCTGGGATGAATTCTCCAGAAGGCAAGAATGACTTGTGAGAATCAGAGTATAGCACCAAAAGAGGTCCAAATAAAGATACTCCTTTGGTAATACTTCCCAGTTAATTCATAATCTATATTATGTTTCAACTGTAAAAATGTAACCTAAAGATTCTTATATACTATGGATTTTATTAATTTTTCTTAAGCAGACATCTTGGTTACATCTCAATACCGTGCATCTATGGAAGGAAAATATTTAATAAGTCACTATGCTCAGGGTTTGCAGAGTACATCCAATATGCACCAGTTATTATTTAGCATTTACTATGTTTTAGCTACTACACAGAGTGTGGACACTTTACTCTCAAGAAGTTGACTGTCTCTTAAGGTTAAACTTAGATCAGAGCCTAAGGGTTATGATCAGAAGGGTTCCTTAGATCAGAGCCTCTCAACTGAAGGGAGGGGGGTGGACACTTATCAAAACTTTATGACACAAGTTAGAATATTTTCAGAAGACCCAGAAGAGATATCACATTTAAACCTTCTATTTTATCCTTAAATGTAGGGGATGGGTAGGTATTATGTTTAAATACCTGAAATGGGTATTTATAACGCTGTTCCCTATGCTGGGGAAATACTAACAAATACATAACCTGCATATTGTATGCACATTCACAAATATTTTTCTCTATGTTAGTGTGTTAAGAAATGTAGATGCAAGAGGCGATCCTGGAATTCCATGGCTCATTAATACACAGAAGCTTTTTGAATGGGCAAATGAAGTCAGAATTGACCCAAATAATCCAGAATATTCTGATTTAATGGAATTTATTATGGTAAGTTATAGCAAATATCAATTCTGGAAATAGATTCTATTTTCTAAGCTCTGGCTCCTTTACTTTTAAATTATTTAAAAATAGTTTGTGCCCAGCCAGCATTGCTCAGTGGTTTGGAGTCCACCTATGAACCAGGAGGTCACTGTTCAATTCCCAGTCAAGGCACATGCCTGGGTTGTGGGCTCGATCCCACATCGATCAGCTGCCTCCTGCACGCCCTCCACCGGGGATGTGCCTGCAACCAAGGTACATGCCCTTGACCGGAATCGAACCCGGGACCCTCGAGTCTGCAGGCCGACGCTCTATCCACCGAGCCAAACCGGTTCTGGCAAGCTCTGGCTCCTTTACTTTTAAACTATTTAAAAATAGTTTGTGCCCAGCCAGCATTGCTCAGTGGTTTGGAGTCCACCTATGAACCAGGAGGTCACTGTTCAATTCCCAGTCAAGGCACATGCCTGGGTTGTGGGCTCGATCCCCAGTGTGGGGCCTACAGGAGGCAGCCGATCAATGATTCTCATCATTGATGTTTCTGTCTCCCTCTCCTTCTCCCTTCCTCTCTGAAATCAATAAAAATATATTTTAAAAATATTTTGCTGCACATTTTTTCTAGGCATTAGGAGGCATGTAAGTGTAAATCTCAGGACAGACACAACCAGTTTACAGTATTATAAAGGCAATAAGAAATTCAGCCACTGAAATACTACTTGAGGCCCAATGGTTGGTACTTTGCCACTAAGCAGCCCACAGCACATCCTACAGGCTGACCTTCAGACTAGCATCTATTTCATGTCTACTGGAGTGCCTGCTGTATTATTAGATGCTAGGTATATAAAGACGGCTTACAGACACATTACTTCCCTCAAAGACTCCATTATATATTCACTTCCCCTACTCTTCCTTATAGCCAACTGAATTGTTCATAGAAATATGAATAGATGTGCCCCAAAATGCTTTCTTCACACCTTTATTCATGTTATTCCCTCTGCCTAGAAAGCCACCCATAGAGGCTATCTTTACCCATCCTCCAAATCTGATAAACATTTCTTTGGTAACCTCAGTTAAACATATGCTCTTCTTTCCTTGCCCTCTTGTTAACTTTTTTTCTTTTTATAACTGTTATGGTTCTGATTTCATTCTGCCTTATGCTGTAGTCATTACTGTGTTTTATCCTTCCTTGTGGGACTACAGCAAATAAATATTTATTTCTCTGATGGCAACTAACACTCTTCCTTGCATGTACCCTGTACTCCCATTTGCATTTATTGAATAAAGCAACGCTTAAATAGATTATTGCAATTAAGTGTCCCTAGATCAGAGCCTCTCAACTGATGTGCTGAATTGATCACAGGCATACAGAAATAGTGATTTTCTCTCATATTCTACATAAAAGTGAGATCATCTGGCATTTGTCTTTCTCTGTCTGCCTTATTTCACTCAGCACAGATCCTATATTCAAGTCTTTAATCCATTTGAGTTAATTTTTGTGTATGGCGTCAGAAAGCAGTCTGTTTTCATTCTTTTGCATGTGGCTTTACAATTACTCCAACAAAATTTATTGAAGAGGCTTCCCTTTCTCCATTGTTTAATTTTTTAAATTTAAATGTAATTAGTATACAATAGTATATTAGTTTCAGTTTACAATATAGTGGTTTGACATTTTTATACATTAAAATGTGTTTAAATAAATTTTTAATTAAAAATTAATATATATTAAGTCAAGACTTTTATTATTTATGTTTTACAGTACATGAAACATAAAGGGAAGGATATCCCAAAGTATTTTCGTCTTGAACAGTTGCAAGAAGAATCAAGTTTTGTTTCTGAAGAGGAAATGAAAAAGAGTAAACGTTTCCGGCTATTGCAGCTTAGAAATGCAGGACAATTAGGTATTTTCCCTCTGCAGCAAATACCCCTTTATGACAGAGAGATTCCAGACTCAGTCTTCCAGGTACGTGGTTTCTATTTGAGTATAATTTATAAGTTAATGTTTTGCTGCTTTAAATCTGTCCTAATTTTTTTAACTGATAACCAGTAGACAGACCTCCCCCCTTTCTTTAAACATTAAAAATGTACAGATCTCCTAATTCCAGAAAGTCCTTAGCTTGACTTTGCAACTTAGTTGTTCAAACAAAGTATTTCAAAGCCGAAATCCTTTAGGTGTATTCTAAATTTATGTAAATACTGTATTTTTGCTATCGTAAAATGTAACACATATTTAAAAGAAACTTTTGGATATAAGGGAAAGAAACACTACCACATTAAATGTATACATTGATTATAAAGTGCACCTCAATTTCAGGAACTTTAAAATGGGGGTGTGGGGACTTAGTCTTAAGCTATGTGGGGGTGGTGTGCGGGAGCCGGCCATCACCAGCTGTCAGAGCCTAATGTGCACCTTTTTCCAACTCCACCTTCAGTGACTTCATGTTGGCTGCTTTAAATTTGTTTAATTTGGTTGCTGGGGAAATATTTACACCATAAATTAGCACATGCTACAAATTGGGGCTCCCCCCCCACTTCCAGATAACTGGTTGTTAAACACTTACTGGTACATCACTAGTCTTAAGATAGCGGATTGTAAGAGCTAATTCCTGTAGAAAGAACCAATTGTAATAACCATAGCATATTTATAGAATATTTATTAATCATCTTTACATTTTCATAATGGCAAATTTTTCTCAATCATTACTCTTTTTTAAAAGATGAAGGGACCACATCCTAGAAGCAAACAAAATAGAAACTGTTTTTAGCTAATTATCAGTGGGAGAATCTGAAAGAAATGTTTTCCTCTTTTAATGCCAGAATGTTGCCAATGTCTCCTACACAGGAACTGAAATAAATAGTTAACATTTTATTGCAGCATGTCATATCTGAACTATGACATCCAAGAAGTGAAACTAACTTAATTCTCTGTTTAGGAATATGAAAGTCAGGTAGAGAAGGATATGTCCTTTTCAGATGTGAATTCTATTACCGCCCAAAGGATTAGTTCTGTCAATTTTCTGAAAAAGGTAACAACTGCAAAATAATGTTAGCAATATGTTTGCATTTACTCTTATGAAAACGGGTCTGCTGGATGTTTTGTACTATGGGCTTCCCAGAGAGTCAGACAGACAAATCTACTTACTCATCACCTCTTTCTGATCAGTGACGGGTTTTCTGTTCTGTTCACTTCCTTTTCAGAGTTAGCTACATACCATCTGTAAATGTACACTGTTGATCTACATTGTTGATGCAGAGGTTACTTCAATGGACAGCAAACTCATTATTAGTGCATATCCTAACTTTTTCTACTTAAACATGAACATTAACAACTTTGCACTCTTCTTGACCCTGAAAGTTCATTTTGAGAAATACACCAGCATTTTGCCAGAATCTTTACTTTTACTAGTAATGTGGTAGTATCACAGCAGTTCAGGGGACAAAGGGAGGAAGGAGCTTAAATTGGGCTAGGATAGGTGTAAAAAGAGATAAGAACAGAGTTTAAGATGACATGAAAGGGTATGGAAGGACAAAAAAGTAGAAAAACACACGCACTTGCTTTGGTATGACATGAATGTGAGAGTAGGAATGATTTTAATAATGGAAACAAGCAGAACCATATTTTCACTTATCTAATCCCTCTTACCATTCATTGCTTGCACAAATTAAGGGGTGAAAAAATAATGGCACCAGTAGTATTGTAAATAGTTTATCTTAAATTATAAACTATGCATTTCTTAAATTCTAAATTTTTTTTTGTAGATGAGAAAGATGGTAATGAAAAGAATTGTCAAAGTTAGCAAATTTAACTTATCAGATATTGTAGCTGATTATGAAGAAATTGTATCTACAAGGTACATATAAAAATTATTATTAAGTAAGAAATCTAAAGCTTTAAGTTAATACCTTCAAAATCCTCTAATAAGATCTCTACATTTATACTAATAAGTTACATATCAAAAGATGCAGTTATGCCCTAACCGGTTTGGCTCAGTGGATAGAGTGTCGGCCTGTGGACTGAAGGATCCCAGGTTCGATTCTGGTCAAGGGCATGTAACTTGGTTGCGGGCACATCCCCAGTAGGAGGTGTGCAGGAGGCAGCTGATCGATGTTTCTCTCTCATTGATATTTCTAACTCTCTATCCCTCTCCCTTCCTCTCTGTAAAAAATCAATAAAATATATTTTTTAAAAAAGATGCAGTTATAAAACATTAAATGAAATATGGTGACTTAAAATATATTTGGTCATTTTAATATGGCATTCTTGACATAACGATGTGATATGTATTTTCAATTGTATAGTATTTTAGTTTTTTAAATGTTATAGCTTTTTTTTTATTTGGTCATTTTAATATGGCATTCTTGACATAACGATATGATATGTATTTTCAGTTGTATAGTATTTTAGTTTTTTTAATGTTATAGCTTTTTTTTTAAACATACTTTTATTGATTTCAGAGAGGAAGGAAGAGGGAGAGAGAGATAGAAACATCAACAATAAGAGAGAACCATTGATTGGCTGCCTTCTGCACACCCCCTATTGGGGATTAAGCCCGCAACCCAGGCATGTGCCCTTGACCGGAATCGAACCCAGGACCCTTCAGTCCGCAGGCCGATGCGCCATCCACTGAGCCAAATTGGCCAGGGCATTATTTTAGTTTTTAATGCTCTCCTTATTGATGGTTTTTAGCTCAAGAAAGAAAAGAAATACTTACGTTTCAAACCTATTTTGCCCTAAGATTTTCCTGTCCTGAGACTGCTAGTGAAAAGTCCTTGCTGATGGCACCACACACTAAGCTTATAACCTATCCCTTTCAAAACTGTGAGTCCTCAGCCCTACGAGAGCGCTGTGATCCACAGGGGGGTCTTTGGCTAGAGCAATTCAATCTCATACTGTCCCATCTGTGAAACTCAGGGGCAGCAACAGGAGTAGAAATGCTTCTGGGAAACCACACTGGGGCCACTTGCAGGTTCATGGTATTACCAATAAGGGGTTCATTGGTTTAGGATGCTGAAATCTATTGTGTTTTATTTTCGGTCTTTGGGGGAAATGGGTGTGACCATAGAGCTATAATTTCATGGATTTGTTACCAGGGCTGACAGCATATGTAACTACTCTTTCAGATTCATGTAGAAAAGCTGAGTTTCTAACCACTTTTAAGAGAATGATTCTTAAAAAAAATAATAAAAATAAATTCTGAAAGAATATCATGTTTTATGGAATTACCTATCCTGCCCTTGTCTCTTGTTGGGTCATGTACCCAAAGGGCATGGAGCAATCACATTCCCTCTTAACATAAGAGTGAACATAACATCTCCTCTATGCTCAGAAAATGATTTCTTCCCTGAGTTTAAAACAACTGTCTCCTCTCCACAATGGAGAAAATATGGCTTACAATAATGGTTTTATTTACAATAATTAATTTAAAAAATGGATATCTTTTAAAACTAAGTTATCTTGTATATATGTGGCTGATCACGTTTACTCTTTAGCCAGTTGACGCATGCAATTTGTAAGCTTGTTGAACGACAAAGAAAGTTAAAGCCTCAGAGGAAAGAAAGGAAAAAAGTGGCAGCACAGACGATCTGTGATGGAGATATTAAGATTCTTGTCAGAATCCTGAGGGCTTATAATATTCCCAGCAGGAAAACAACAGTTCACAGGTAAGGCCATATGCACCAGTTTTTAAGGTTACATAAGATCTGTATTAAATGTAAATTTCCACACTGTCCAATTAGCATATCTTTGCACTTTATTAATGCTCCATATACAGAAACTGAGTGAAAGTTTGTCTTCATTTGGATAGGCAAGCTTATTGTCATTGCCATGTATTAATACATTGCCATGTATTAATGTATTGGATAGGCAAGCTTATTGTCATTGCCATGTATTAATAAGAGTTTTTACAAGTTTGAGATGCCCGAAGTATATCTTGCCCTTTATCTCTATTCCCTATTATGAAGAGTTGTGAAGCCACTGTTGCCAACTACACTATTCTCTGCCACTGGCCCCTCTCAGTATTGGAATTAAAACACTGGAGAGAGTAGAGTCTGTTTTAGACTTGTCCTATTAGATGACTTCTGCAAAAATCAGGTCTTACCCATCTTTTCTGCAGGTGCTCAGGGGCTTTATGTGTGTTTCTGGTGTGGAGGATATGTGGGGCCAGAGTGGGTATCACAATTGAGCGATACCAAAATAAGGCATCCTGAATATTGAGTGCCTCTTATCTATTTAATCTGGTGTGTGGTTCGTATGTGGCTATTTAGTACCCGAGTACCTCAGGAATATTAAGTATACCTCTCTATCAATATTTCACACATATATGCTCTACACCAAGCATGTCAAACTCATGGGCTGCATGCGGCCCACAACGAATATTTTTGCGGCCCAGCCAATATAAAGTTGTGCAGTTATTCAGTGTCTGGTAAGTTAATGTTCAAGAAAAAAATATTAATTTTTATTAAAGTGTTCTATTATTTTATGTTAACGATTACTTATTTATTTCAGCCCTTTGTATTCAGCATATTTCTATCGAAATAAACCTACATTTCTATGAAAATTGAAGCTTTTGGCTTTTTGCAGCCTACATAAACTTAAATCTTGTTTATTTGGCCCGTGTTAGCCCTGAGTTTGACATGCTTGCTCTACACTCTACTTGCTTATCTCATGTTTACCCCATCCTATAAATTTTGCATATGAACAACAAGTATTAATTAACAAGCTACTAATCTATAGTTTAAAACTTTTTGTTTTGCCTATTTTTATATTCAACCTTATTTATTTATAGAATTGATATTCTTAAAACAATGCACATTTCAAAGGCTGCTTGTAAAATCACATCATAACAGCATCACCATTTCCTATTATCATCAATTCATAAAAGAAAGAATGTTGCAACACCAAAAATAGGAAGGATATCATCTCGACGTATCATTTGCCTTATTTTTCTCCTTTTGCTGAGGAAAACTTTATCATAGACTGAATCCAGTCCATATTTCAGCATTGAGGAGCTGCTCCTTTAGAGCAGTCATTATCAGGGGTTTAGCTCTAACCACCTATGATCTGAATATCAAAGCAAACTGTCAAATCCAGGTAACTGGATTATATGTGTCCATAAGCATAGGCAAAAATCTGCTACTCCCACCAAAACTAACTGATATCTCTCTATTGTTTTTCTAGAAGACCCTTGGATATATCTACTTCTCTGATATCATCCATATCTTGCCTCAGACATAAAGAAACAACCAAATCAGTGGCCTCAGAAGAGATCTTATATGAGTTAAGTATTTAGTACTTTTATAAAGTGTAGTTCCAATGGCTTGCCCTGAATTGCTACTGGTTTCTCTGTCCCTAATCTGTTGGGATTCCAGTTTACTTTCCATAACACAATGAAGGTGATCTTTATAAAATCTAATTCTAACCCTTTCATTCCTTGCTCCCCTGCTCTCAGGGTCTTTAGAATACAGTACAAGCTCCTTAGAATGCCTACAAAAATCTGTAATGATGTAGCCCTTACCTACAAGTCAGCCAAATCCCATCTCTTTCCACCCAACAGTGGTATCAGACTACCACCTGTTCTAGAAAGCCTATGTACATGCCCTTTCCTTAGCCTGCAGTGGCCTCCACCCAGCTCAGTATTATTGGCCACATTACTGCTTAATGTTTCTAAGCTCAGGCTCAAGCAGTGTTTTCTCTGTGAAGCTCCTGTCCTCACCCCCAGAAATTTAATCATGCCCTCTCCTGAGTAACTATTATACCAGGAATATATTTTTATTTTATTTCTCACATTTCATTGCAATTATTTATTTACCTGTTTATTTCCCCTAATCTTATATAATAAAAGCCTAATGTGCTAAGTGTCCAGTCGTCCAGTTGGCTGTTCAACCAATCAAAGCATAATATGCTAATGATATGCTAAGGCCGCTCAACTGCTCACTATGACATGCACTGACCAATCAGGGGGCAGATGCTCTGACCAGTAGGTTTACTTGCTGCTGGGGTCCAGCTGATCAGGACTGAGTGATTCAGGCCAGACTGGCCCTCCCGCGGTCCCTCCCCAGCCGGCCAACCTCCTGCATCTCCCCAGCCCCGATTGTGCACCAGTGAGATCCCTCAGCCTGGCCTGCACCCTCACGCAATATGGCACCCTTGGAGGATGTCGGAGAGCTGGTTTTGGCTTGACGGCGGAATGACCGGTTGCTATGACATGCACTGACTACCAAGGGGCAGATGCTTAATGCAGGAGCTGCCCCCTGGTGGTCAGTGTGCTCCTGAGGGGGAGCACCACTCAGCCAGAAGCCAGGCTCACGGATGGTAAGTGCAGCGGTGGTGGCGGGAGCCTCTTCCACCTCTGAGGCAGCACTAAGGATGTCTGACTGATGGCTTAGGCCCGCTCCCTAACTGTCAGTCGGACATCCCCCGAAGGCTCTCGGACTGCAAGAGGGCACAGACCAGGCTGAGGGACCCCCCGCTCCTGAGTGCACGAATTTCATGCACCGGGTCTCTATAAGCTATAAAATCTATAAAGCAAAGTTCCATTTATCTTTTTTTGTTAATTCTCACCCGAGGAAATTTTTTCCATTGATTTTTTTTAAAAGAGAGTAGAAGGAAGGGAAGGAGGGAGGAAGGAAGGGAGAGAGAGAGACCATTGTGGGAGAGAGACATTGATTGGTTGCCTTCTACACGCACTCTGACTGGGGATGGGGGTTGAACCTGCAACTCAGGCATGTGTCCTTGACTGGGAATGGAACCTGAGACCCTCCATGTGTGGGCTGACACTCTAACCACCTAGCCATACTGGCTATTTATCTTAGAAAAGTATCTATATTAAATAGGACCAATAAATGATTAGTAAGTGAATGAGTGAATAATAGTTATCTGAAACACTAGAATAAGTAAGCATCCAGTTTTCAACCAGCAACCAAGTAATTCCTTAGCTTTTTATCTTTTATCAACTATATAAAATATTACAAAAATCTAGTCATTGTTTATTATGTATTTCAGGATACTGTACACCCTTTTGTGGAAGTTTCCTTTCAACACACTGTATACCAAACCAGTACTGCAAGTGGATCTCATCCATGCTGGAATGAGGAAATTAAAGTAGATTTTGTGTAAGTTGGAGTCCATTTTTTCTTAGCTCCTAAAAAAAGAACAATAAATAATTATTTTTGAGCCATTTATTAAAAATATTGGTTGAGATAAGCTTTGCTTTTTAGGCTTTTAAATAATGAAATATCTCTTACATAGATGTTAATATATATGATGTATATATAAATATAAGTTCTCAGGAAAAATGATAAAATGAACACCTGTATATCTACCTTCCATCTTAAAAAGTAGATATTGCCAATATTTTTGAAGGCTTCTCTATGCCAATTACTAATTATATCTTCCTTCTTTCCCTCCAGAGGTAAAAACTATAAATTAGGTATTTATGCCTTGTGTCTGATATCTGCTTACCTGACCTTTCTTACTGTTTGAATGTGAAAGGGAGTATTAATTGAAAGGAAATAAATATATTATATTGTATAATATTATGCTAAGTAATTAGTATATAAAAGTATATTTTGGTTTAAAAGTTTGTAAAGGTATAAAATTTGGTTGTATGTGTAGAAATATTTGTGTATTAGACATTAGAGTTAGAAGAAATATACTGTATTAAATAAATAGATTTAGGATAACATGAAATAGTCAATAAGATAAACTTATACATAAATGCTGTAGAATAGTTGCATTCTTGAAATGATAGCAATGCAATAAGCCAAGAACACATTTAGAGCACAACAAGGAAGATCAGAGGGTTCAGCTAAGCCAACGCCATTCAACTACCATTTTTCATTGCCTCAGATACTCCATTCTCTTCTCCACATGACATTTTAATGAATAAAAATCATGTACAAATGGGGTAGATAGTAATAATAAACAAATAGTAAATATCTTGTGAGCTCTACTTTGGAGGAGAAATTGTGAAATTGGAGGCAAGTTTGAATAGAATACAAAATGCAAGATAGTGTAGGACTTGAGTGATTTAAAGGACATACTAAGTTGACACACTCCAAAGTGTCTTGAGGATGACAGTTATCATCTCTTCTGCTAATATCTTATATAATAAAAGGCTAATATGCAAATTGTCCCCTTGGGAGTTTGACCAACGGAAGTTCGACCATTCACTATGATGTGTGCTGACCACCAGGGGGTGGTATGGAATGAAGGAAGGCCCCAGCTGGCAGCCGGCAGCCAGCAGCCGAGGGAAGGAAGGCCCTGATCAGCCCTGATCTCCAGCCACTCCTAGGGACCCTACCCATGCACCAATTTCGTGCACCGGGCCTCTAGTAGTATAATAAGTATGCATTGCCTTTTCTACCCTGTCTTAGACGTTGCAACATGAAAGGAAACTCTTGAAGGAGCAGGGTAAGGAAGTCAGCTTATCACTTAGAAATATAAGGAACATTCGACTTTAAAATTATTCTCTAAACTCAATGAACATTTTTCAGTTGTCAGTGTATCTGTAGGTCTCAGAAAGTTATACAAGCTATTGGAGATCCTTTGAAATAGTAACTGTTTTCTTAGGCAACAAGCTTCAACAAATAATGTCAGTGGCAGTTGGTATAGTGAAAAGATCCTAGCCTTTGAGGCAGTTAATTGGGTTCAGATGAGGGCTCTGTCACTTGCTGATGACATTAGCTTGACCAAGTTATTTAACTTCTCTGAGCTGTTAGAAGTTTGAGATTTGATGTATAGGCTGGAGCTGATAGTGAAAGTTCAGTGCTTGTGATATACTACATTATTCTTTCAGCTACCTCCAAAAATTTCTCCAATCAAGTAAGCCATCCGCAGACAGTTTGAAAAATTAAATGCACCCCACTATCCCAGTTTCTGGTTGGAGAAAATAAATATGGGAAAGAGAATAAGCTTAGCTGAGAGAGAGAGAGAGAGAGAGAGAGAGAGAGATCAGTTACCTCCTGTACGTGCCCCAATTGGGGAATCAAACCGGCAAACTTTTTGGTGTATGGGACAATGCTCCAACTGAGCCACCCCACCAGGGCTAGTTGGAAAATCTTAATGCACCATACTTCAGATAATTTGTTTGCAGTGGATGCCTCTACTAGGAAGTCTTTCTGCTTGACATTTCAACATTTTTATTCTTCACTCAGTTACTTTAAGAGATAAAAAAGATAAATAACAAAGCATGTACTGGCTTTAATGAAAGATAGCAGGTGTCTTAAAAGCACATAGTTTTTTCTTAGTTTACATGTTATAACAGAAAAGAACACAGGTGATTTAATAGTACTTTATGAATAATGCTCTTATAAAATAAATTAAGCATCTAAATAAGTTTTTCTTATTTATAGCTCACCAGGACATGATTATAGCTTCTCAAGTTTATCTAAAATAAAAGATAATATATATATCAACATTTTTGATGAAATGATTTTTGAAAAACATGAGGTAAAGTACAACAATTATAATTATGCTGAAATAATGCTAAGTTCTGACTGAATGAAGTCTAGTAACATATTTGTAAATTTGCTTTTAGATGCAATATTTATTTCTAACATTTTCTAAAAAGCATTTAGAGCAGCTTGGAATAAAATCAGACATATGACAAGACAGTTCAAAAATAACAGATCTCAAACCATACATAGAAGGAAAAGGGATAAATATAACAAGAATTTGGGAGAAGTAGATTTCTGCAATTGAACATTACATTAAAATGTGAGCTTCCTGGTAGCCAAGATAGAAAGATAAGCAAAAATGGGTTATATATTTTCCACCGTTTGATCAAAGAAAATATACCCCTTCTATAAAAAATAGCAAATAATTCCTAAAACCCAGTTCTCTTCAATCTGACATTAAAAGTTATGAATGTCTTCCTCATAGATATCAGAAAGTTCCTAACACTGTGCCTAGTACCATAGCAAGCTCTAAAATAAATGTTAATTTCCATCCTACTGAAGTTGACACTAAAAGTATAAAGATGCATATCCATTATACCCTCTCTCTTGGGGCTCTGATTAAATACTTGAATATAAATGTCTAGCAAATTATATGGCAACACTATTGAAGGAGCAATTAATTCTACATGGAGGGATTGGGGATTAGGCTCAGAGAAGTTGAAGCAGATCTTGATGCAATTCCTATCAAGATGCCAGTGGCATATTTCACAGAACTAGAATTAATAGTCCAAAAATTTATATGGAACCACAAAAGACCCAGAATAGCCACAGCAATCTTGAGAAAGAAG